TTGTTATGAAAATTGTGCCTGCCGTTTAATGCCAATTAAAAGTTATATCTTGATATTTTTTCGATTTCTACCTCCTTGATGAGATAAACGCAATTTGAGACGAAATTTTTCTAAAGATAACCAATACCAGTGTTCATGTGGAACAAGCTGGCGTGTGAATGATTTTTTCACGGTATTAACCAAGAAACATATATTTTTGTTCAATAATTGTAGAAACTCAATGTTTTAGAATAGGTAACTCTACATTAAGGACATTAATAAAGTTTACCAAAATTCAGACCGTTAGGTGTTGAAAAAAGTTTTTGAAAACGTTAAATATTTTTGTTTATTATGTGAAACTTTGTACGAATGAAGAGCCACTTACTTAAAAGTTTGTATATGTTTTCAAGACCTACGGGCATTTAGTTTTAATAATAGTTTTTGCAATAATAGATGTATCATAAAAAATCATTTATAATCATTGTGTTATAAAAATTGTTTAACATCAATTTCTATGTGGTATAAAATTAATTCTTTTTAATAGTAAAATTTCGTCAATTGTAATTATTTTTTTCACAACCCGCAACGAAATAAGTTATTAGCCAACTTTTTTGTCTTTTCCGCAACCTCTTCAAGCTTTTTCTGTTGTTCAACGGGTACCCCTATCTACGGAAAAACTTTATTAGCCCAGTATTTGAAATCTAACGTGATTGCAATTAGGGTTAATACGAGCTCGGTGTAAGTATAAAAGCAAATAAAACCCTCGAGAGCCTTCGTTACTGCATTTCTGTTTAGCAACGTATTAAATCCAGAGATTTAGGTGGTATTTACTTAAAGAAGAAATTGTGGATTTAGGGGAAAATTTAAACCTGCTTTAAACAGTTATGAATATATGCGTCAAGTAATGTAATATATGGGAATGTGCCTTGAATTTTATTTCTATTTAATAGAATAATTATATTGTTAGTCACATAATTCAAGAAATAAAACGCAATTTCTTTAGACTAGGATTTAAATATTTTATACTTTTTAAAATTATTACTGATATCTTAAAATATTAATTATTGTGGGTGCCGGGACACAGCGAATTGTATACGTCAATCAATCCTGATTTATACATAAGATTTTTCAATCTTATATAATAAAAAGTTATAGGGGTGAGCCTGCACTTTTGAAAAACACCCGGTATACATATATAACGATCAAATTGTTTTCTTCTGCTACGGGAAATTTTCGATTAATTTCATATGATTTTTTTCAATAACTCAGTAACAAAAATGACATTATGCGGATTTCCGACAATTACTGCATATTCCCTATTTATTTAAATCTTGACTGCAACAAATAGTGCCTATCCCTTTGTAGCAGCTTTACTTGTTATTTTAGTATTTTACGACTGAAACCAAAAACTTTAAAAAATTAATTATATTTTTATAGTAATATAATATTTTTGTAATAACAGAAATATTATTTGTTGTGTTATTATTTGTAAATAACACTAAAATTTTTGATATTATTTATTATTCCATGCATTTCTGTGTACCTTGTCAAAATATTGAGATTTACTTAATTTACAGTGAAATCGTTTTTCTATGTGTGAGAATAATTAAGATACAAATAAAACAAAACTATATAAATATTACACAAACTTTATCACAACAACAATAAAAACAACAACGAACTAGGAACAGATAAGTAGCAATCCCTGTAGAAAATAAGAATAGTGATCACATAATAATAATGATCACAAAATTTCAAGTAAAATGAAAATTTTAATTGTGTTCACATATTCTGTACTTATAATGTATAAAGTTAAAGGTCTCTGGGACCGTATTTCAGTTTCTTCTCTCTATATAGGTATATAATTCTAAGCCTATTATATGAAATATTCATAATTTTTTTTATGAATAGCACAATATAATTCATAAAGAAAGCTAAGTAAATGTAACAAAATTATAAAATGTTATGATGATAGTAAATTAATAATACTCATCATAATTTCAAATATTCTGCCAATAGTTGCCTCCAAAATTCCTGCCTAGCATAATCTACCGTTTCCTGAATACATTTTTCTGTTTTATTATCGTTCTCCTTAAATTTACATTTAATGGATTATGCATTAAGTTATCCAAATATTCCTTATCCGGTCCCAATTCTCTTAGCAATCTGCTGGGTTTCGCAGACTTGCTTCTGTTTTGACTGAACGGAGTCGAACTTCTGCTGCTTTTGTCCGCATTTTTCGATGAAGTCGTTTGTCTAGCGCTCGATTCTTTCGAATTGGGTTCTTTAGATGATTTCGTCACAACGAACGAACTAGTAGGGGAGAATGCCCAACAGTGAGACAGGTCCAACAGTGAGACATTTAATCCCCTTCATTTAAAAGGCGTCGAATCCAATTCCCCTTTCGAGAGTAAAACACTACCTACATTCCAACTATTTTGTACCAAATATGGAACCTGCAGTGTTGGGAGATATATGTCAAATGCACCCAATAAAATTTCTGAAGCTAAAAATAATTTTTAACATGCGCGTTTTCTTCGGTCTGTAAGGTCAACACTTAGTTATTTTAATAAATCCATTAGTGGGGGAGGTAAGTTTAGAATGGTGTTTTAGAATATACGTCTAAGTTTTTTTGCTCAAGTAGTTTTAGAATAAAATAAATTACTAAATGGCCGACTGATGTTAATGTCCGGCAATGAGATAAAATATATTGCCTAACAGTGAGACAGTGTCCCACAGACAGTGCACCCGTTGAGACTGGGACATAGGTACGTTTCGGGCATTCGTTGGCACTGTTGAACATGTCTATCATGTTATTGATAGTATTATTGTTATTAATATTTAAAAGAACATTATAGGCAAATGCAATACAAGAAGGATTCTTGGCTGAGTTAAATATGAGCCAAAGAAAAGATTCTTCTGCAGATGAATGCTTTGTCACAATCTACCCTGACGGACATATGTTAAAATAACATTTTAGCGTTGTTATTTTATGTCAGATTGACACATATAATATTTGGTTTATGAATTTGTTATATAACAGAGTTTTTCTTTATTTTAAGTCGAAGTTACATTAACAACAAAAATCTATGAAACTCTTTTTTTAATTTCGTTAGTTGACTAAGTTAATTATATTTTTAGTACTTGTGTTTATATTTTAAGTCCTTTGTTTAACACAGCTCTACTTTGTTTTATGCCAAACACCAATAAAATACTCTTAACTATTTTTTAAGTAATTAATAAATAGTTATTTGTTTAAAACTTCCTTTTTCTTCCTGTTGGACCTTAGGGCCCAACAATGAGACAAATGCAATAATAACAATATTGTTAAGTTTAAGGCATGTTTTTGTCTCAATGAGTGTAGTTAATTAAACATGTTTAGGAAAGAGTGGTTGCCTTTAAAGTATACTAAAATACTTTACTTTGATGAAAAACTAAAATATTTTACGGTCTTAAAAAAATGTGTCTCCCTATTGGGCATTCTCCCATAGCGTTTTCGATAGCTTTTTGAGCGCCCAACTTGAATCCCTCATGGTCTGGTCGGATATGTAATCCTCGTTGGTAGTACACAAGGCTGTGTTCGAAGTCTTAGAAATAATATAAGGTCTCCGCTTTCTGATAGATAGCTTTTATATAGAATCTATGGTCTTGTACTGTCCACGCATTACTTTGATTCTTGTACTTCTAAGTTTTACTTTGAATTTGATAGACAATGGGTCAGTATTAAGACTAAAAGAATCGGACTTCCATTTTCATTATTAATTTTGTTTACAAAACTTTTCGGTCAGAAGTATCACTGAGCGTTATCAAGTGTGAGCTAAACTAAATCCTAAAACTACTGAGCTTATATACTAGATACTAGAGCCGAGCATTCACCCGTGAAATTGTTGGTGCAGTCACGCATGAGGTTCTCCACTAAGAATACCCGCATTGGAGCGTTTTATGTGTGGTTGCCATATTGTTGAAATTTCCACACTTGGATTGTTAAAAATGTTATTATTGTTAGAAAGGAATACGGCCTCTTTAAATTTGCGCTTTTTCCAATTGGTTCTTTGTGGATAACCCAGGCTTCCGACAATTTTATGTTGTGGTGCTTGGACCACACATGAACTGCAATATACGACTTCACTGTTTTACCTCTGCGTATGTTTTTTTATGTTCGTCAAGTCATACATGTAGAAGACGTTTAGTCTCTCAAATTTACGACTCACCGCACTCGCAAGGTACCTAGTAGATGCACTCTTTTTCTTGGTTTAATGATTCCTGTTTTATTTTTGTTAGGACACTCTTTGGAGTAGTCCTAGAATTAAAAACAGTTTTAATTTTATTCGCCTGATCTTCCCCTATGTTCCTTCCACATATGGAATCGTCAAGAGAGAGAGAGAGAGAGCATCCTCCTCAGGCTGGCACACCAATGAGTTAGACTTGCAGTTGGATATAATATTGTCTAAGAATTTTCCAGAATAACCATTCTGAAACAAATCGGTTTTAACATTACTTAGATCAGAATTCAGAGATTCTTGGTCACTGCATATAGTGATTGCTCTATGACGTAATGTTTTAACTTTACCTTTTTTGGTTGCCTATAATAAAAGTACTTTACAGAGTGTTCTAACAAAAAAACAGAACCGGAATCATCAAACCTCATCAAACCAAGAAAAAGAGTGCATCTACTAGGTACTTTGCGAGTGCGATGAGTCGTAAATTTGAGAGAGACAAAACGTCCTCTACATGTACGACTTGACGAACATAAAAAACATATTCAGAGAGGTGAAACAATAAAGCAGGGTACTGCAGTTCATGTGGGGTCCAAGCACTACAACATAAAATGGTCGGAAGCCCGGCTTGTCCCCAAAGAACCAAATTGGAAAAACCGCAAATTTAAATAGGCCGTGTTAATTTCTAACAATAATAAACCCTTTAGCAATCCAAGTATGGAAATTTCAACAATATATCAACCACTGCACCAAACTATTTCACAGGTGAATGCTCAGCTCTGTATACATGTATCCGAAATTCCTTTAGTTTTAATACTTCTAAGCTCATTACAGGAAGTTTTCATATATTATTATTATTTACGAATGATATACCTAATATGATTCATAATTACGTACTAAATAAACTTAACAAAATATTACAATGTTATGATGTTCATAAATTAATAACAGTTATCTATTTCAAATGTTTTGGCAGTTGTTGCCTCCAAAATTCCTGCCTAGCATTAAGGTAATCTACGGTTTCCTGAATACATTTCTCTATTTTATTATCGTTCTCCTTAAATTTACACTTAATATTAGGGTTATGCATTAAGTTATCCAAATATTCCTTATCCGGTCCCAATTCTCTTAACAATCTGCTGGGTTTCGCAGACTTGCTTCTGTTTTGACTGAACGGAGTCGATCTCCTACTGCTTTTGTCCGCATTTTTCGATGAAGTCGTTTGTCTAGCGCTCGATTCTTTCGAACTAGGTTCTTTAGATGATTTCGTCACCACAAACGAACCAATAGCGTTTTCGATAGCTTTTTGAGCTTTGTGCACTCCCAACTTGAATCCCTCATGGTCTGGTCGGATATGTAATCCTCGATGGTAGTACATGAGGCTGTGCTCGAAATCTCCTAAATAATATAAGGCCTCCGCTTTCTGATAGATAGCTTTAATAAAACCTTTATCGACTTGAAGCGCGGTTTCGGCGTCTTTCAGTGCCTTTTCCGGTTGACCTAGCTGGATATAGCATTTGCTTCTGGCGACCAGCGAATGTTTTTCCGCAGGATTGAGCTCGAGCGCCTGAAACAGATTGACGTTATCGGTCTACTTGTTTGAAAGGATATATTAAAAAAGGTAATAACAAAGTTTAATAAAAGATGAACCATCAAACATTGATATTTAACAAACAACAGAAGTTTTCAATATGTTTATTGGACCAAAATATGTAACTAATATAAAATCTAAAATAAATTGTTTTAAAAGATTTTATTAGCCCGTAGCAGGGCACTAATGCGGAGAAAAAGTATTGAAAAGGGATAAATTTTGTGCAACAAATTAGGGAGAAGATTTTGACAAACTACATCCAAAAAGTGACAAGCAATGCAGTTTTTCTGTGAATTAAAATGACAAACAGAACTGTCTTTGGATAGTAGGGTGTCCGTTATTTACAAAGTTGATAATTTCTCTCATGACTCACTCTAAATTTTTAGTTTATTGTCTAAAAAAAATAACAGGCCATTGTAAACCCTTAATATTCACAATAAACCTTGCCCCAAAGACGATTCATTTTCCATTTAAATTACATGGGAATTTACCACTTTTTGCAAATCATTTTTTTCTCTCGATCTTGTTCTCATGTAGCCTTGACAGTCTATAATATATTCTTCTACAGAATTGAACGCTCTACAAAAAAGGTCTCTTACAATTTTTCGATAAGCCTACTCTTTCAAAAGTTATTCACGGTTAAAATTCCTAAAAACTCGATAAATTGCTAAATTTTTCAACTTTTTGACAAAATTATGATTATTTTTGAAAAATTTAACCTATTACTGTAAAAATATAAAATTCTGATGGTGTTAAGGTTGGGAAATACCATATCATACCATACATGCATCCTTGATATGGAATTACCATACCAAGGATGCATTTATTACTTAAGCCTTCACTACCCAAGGATGCATTTATTACTGTACAACCAGCGCACCATTTGTGACCTGAGGCTCCAAATCTTCCATGAAGTCGTCTGACAACTGCTTATTGTAATTGAAATAATTTGCTACAGTCTTGAGATTTTTCAATGTCATTGCTTTCTTTAGGTCCTGCTTTCTTTAGGTATCTTTCCTACGCCTTATATTATTAGTTGGCCAGTTCATTAGCTTTTGATATTTTTTTTACATTTATCTCTACATGTTGTCAAACTATAAAATGTATTTTTAATTCTGTGGATCACAAAGTGATTAGAATAAGTCAGTAATAAATACCCTGCTAATACAAAACTAAAAGTTACACTAATAAAAATAAAATAAATAAAGTAAAATTGAATCCATAAAATTAAGCGTTTATAATTTTATGGATTAAATTCATATTCTGTAAACTCTTTGAGCGAATAAAGGGTATTCTTTCAAAGAATGAATTTGCTAAGAAAACTACATAAACCAATTCTTCTCAAGAAAACTGCATAAACCAAGGTTTCTTATGCTTTTAGGAGTTTGTTGTAGTCTTGATAATGTCCATGACTGTCGTAGTCATGGTAATATCGAAATCATGTCAATTTTATGTTTTGACACGAATATAATGTATTACTACAAAAGACGATCAAAAGAGAGATATCTCTGATATACAGGGTGGTCCGGACTGTATTCCAGAAACATCGGCAGCATATCCTGTAGATAAAAATAAGTAACTCGTATAAACATTTATCCTAAAATGCTTAGTTTCGGAGATACAGGCTGTAGAAAATTGGTGTCTGGGAGTTTTTTGACATGAGAAATTTGGGATTTTGATGCCAATATGACTCCTATTTGTAGAGAGAGCCACCTACATTTGTTTTAACTGTTTTGAAGTGTAATAACTTTTCGTCCGTACCTGTATAAAACTAGTGAATGAAAACAATTACATTTCCGTGATTGTTTATGTAAAAAATGTCTTTTGGTAAAAATCGCTACGAGCATCCGTTCTTAAGATGGAAAGCATCCGTTCTTAAGATGGAAGAATGGAAATAGTGATGAAATAAACATGAAGATACATTTGGGAACTTTTTATATTTTTAAATTAATCTTAAATTTTTCTCCAAAAAATAATAATAAAACAGTTTCTGTTAAATTTTTGGCACAAAAATATTTCAAATTTATGATTTCGGTTTAATAACTATTTAGTCAACATGTTTAATTTATGTCAATGATGACAGGGGATTGATAATTCCAAATATCTCGAGAATCATTACTCGTAGCGATTTTTACCAAGGAACCTTCTTTATGTAGAAAACGTCGCAAATGTATATTTTTTTACTCAGTAGTTTTATGCAGGTATGGAGGAAAAGTTATTACTCTTCAAAACAGTTAAAAAATATGTAAGTGGCGCTCTTTACAAGTAGGGAGTCATATTAACATCAAAATCAAATTTCTCATGTCAAAAAACTCTCCCAAATCACCAATTTTCATCCAAGTATCGAGGTTAGTTCAGAGATTATTTGGAAAAAATCGAAATAAAAATAAAACTTCTACACATTGTATCTCCGAAACTAAGCATTTTAGGACATTTATACGAACTTTTTTACTTATTTTTATCTGCAGAATATGCTGCAGCAGTTTCCGGAATACAGTTTATACCACCCTGTATATTATATAACCGATAATTTCCTTTTTCTTTTTTATATAATATACTATACGATTATACGATCAAAATAATCGGCGTCAGAGTTGGCTTATATCGAGGCTTATATACGTAACAGTCATTGATCGTCATTTTGGTGTAAGACATAATAATATGATGTGTTTAATAAAAAGATTGTATTATCGAGTTAAATACTCTTTCCAACTAAATACATTTAATATATTAGAATTACAACAATTAAAAAGAAGATTTCATTATTAAAAGTAAATTGTAACCTTCGAAATAAAGTTTATTGCTATATTGAGGTCTCCACGTCCCATCTCGTAATTTCCTAAAGCCAAGAACGTGCTTGGTTCGGCCTCTTCTGGAATTTGCAATATTTTAGATCGATCCTGTTTCCGTTTAATTTTTAACGACTGCTTGATATCTTTAGAACCTAAATTGACAGCGGCTGCTCTATCCTTGTCGCAGTAAATTTCTTCATCTCTTGGGTTTTTTACTTTTCTCCTTCTTCTACCTAAAATTTAAAAAAATCTTTTCAGTCGTATGGAAGTGTCATGTAAATGGTGTAAAAAATAGGGAAGTGATAGCGATATTCTCTCATTGCTGCGAAGCCCCTTCATTTTCCAGTTAGTAAAAAAAAATTAAACGAGCTGCTGTATACACTAAATAAATAAAATAGAAAACAAATTTTTTGCAGTATAGGTATATAATAAAATTATATAAGGATTCTTGCCACTTAACTGCTGATATAGAAAATTAATTCTACGCTGTGTTTGTCATAATGTGGACCAACTTGCCCTCACTACCGGTTTCGGAGCCCTACTCTATCATCAGGTGAGCTTGGGCAGATCCACAAAATGACAATCACAGCGCAAAGATAGTTAAATCCGACTTGTCGGAAAGTATCGGTTAGATATTAAGTCCCGAACGTGGATCTGCCCAAGCTCACCTGATGATGGAGTAGGGCTCCGAAACCGGTAGTGAGAGCAGGTTGATCCACATTATGACAAACACAGCGTAGAATTAAATTTCTATATCAGCAGTTAAGTGGCAAGAATCCTTATATAACTTTATTATATACCTATGCTGCAAGAAATTTGTTTTCTATTTTATAATTTGGCTTGCCTGAAAAAAGCCTTTTACCATCCTTTTACTATCGATAGTTGTACCTCGATGGTACGAAAGTACTACCATTGCACGCAGGCCACTATCTCCCGTTCGGGACTTAATATCTAACCGACACTTTCCGACAAGTCGGATTTAACTATCTCTGCGCTGTGGTTGTCATTTTGTGGATCTGCCCAAGCTCACCTGATGATGGAGTAGGGCTCCGAAACCAGTAGTGAGAGCAGGTTGATCCACATTATGAGAAACACAGCGTAGAATTAAATTTCTATATCAGCAGTTAAGTGGCAAGAATCCTTATATAATTTTACTAAATAAATAATAGGTAATACACAAATTTTTAGAGTTACTATATGTTTTGAGTAAATAGACAAGGGAAGTAGCATCTGATGGAGACTATCAAAAATGGAGACTGACTTAAATTTCGGTTTATCAGTGACATTATACTTTTATTTAAAACGCGTCAAAATATAATGTAAGGTAGACTGAATTATTGCTGATTTTGTTTTACATTGAGTCAATAAATGTTATTAGTTATGAAAATTGCTGAAAAATATATTTCTAATAAAAATAAATAAGATATACCAAAAATACAGATACACGCTACTGAAAAAAGTCAAATTTCCCTATACCTTTCCATATACCAATTATTTTTGACAAGGAAACAGTGCAATAAATGCAACAGAAAATAAATGCAAAAATGGCAAAAACATCATTAGTTTGTTCTAAATAAATTTTTGTAATTGATTGGTGTAAATTCTGTTCCATTGTTATTTATTTTATTTTTTTGAATGAAAACTCTCTCAAGATTCACACAATAATCTAACTCTAATTAACTAGTTCACTAAGTTCTGACACAATTTAATTTTAAATTTGTACACTCCCTTTAAATCAAATATTTTTCGAAGGGGTTTCAGCTTCGCATACAAATTATTCAAAGAGATTCAAGGAAACATTACAACGGTCGTGGTTTAAAATGCGAGAAACAAAAACATTTTTTGGAAATAGGTTTCTGTGTTTGAAACGTTCTATTCTTTTTTCATCTATAACCAAAACTCTGTCTCTACACCAAAACTTTACTTTTGCACTGGACGCGCGTTGACCCAGGGCCGGCGGAAGGGCCGGGCGACCCGGGCGCCCGCCTGGCGCGCCGAATGTGAGGGGCGCCACGCCAGCGACTAAAATATTTAAAAAAATTGTTCGTGGTATTTTACTTATAACTGAAAAGCTATTAACTCTTTGTAAATAACCCTTCCTTTCTATAATTCTTGTTTTTATAAATGTTCTCTAAATAAACTGTTTTGGGTCAAGAGTCAGCAAAATTGACAGTTTTAGACTGCTTGTTGTTCAAAATTGCACTTTGTCTACTACCCACACCCTTTATTTGTTAATGGCTGATCTGCCCTAAAATTATATAAGACAAATATTCATTCGCAAGAAGCTAAATAGGATCCCGATATCCTTATTATCAAAAAAAAAGTTGTAAGTTTGCCTCATTAATTTATTAACAGTAGTGGGAAAATATCAAACTTTTGGTGATTTTGATTGTTCAGGATTGAATATGTAGTAATACATGGTAAATGGTAGCAGAATCGTAGAAATTTCTCATTAAAGCAACACAAATGAATGCATCTCAAATCTCAAACACTGGCTGATCCTCATTTTGAAGCCGACAAAACTGTATCTGATCATACCTATACTGATTCTGCACGAAATAACTAATTGTGAAAATGAAAAGATTTTTTTCTTAAATTCTTATAGAAAAATAATGCAATTGCTTGCAACTAAATAGTAATGTTTTCAAAGTTCACTTATACTTATCATTTATATACCGGGTGCGTTTCAAAACTGGCTCACTCCTATAACTTGTTTATTTTTTCAGGCGAAAAAACGAGATTTGGTATGTTAGTATACGACATAAATTAGGATTAATTGACGTATTCAATTGTTTTTGATCACTTCCTCTTTCACCGGAAATTAATAAAGCTTTTGATTTTTAAATGTCAACCTCGGTATATTTCTACTTTATGCGATAGAAAATGACAATCTGAATAGAATGACATTTCATATGTCAACTTTTGACATTTTCGCATATGGATTATTTGAAATTGTAACATACGGTTCATAACGACAATTTGACTCGAAATATCTAGTGTGTGTTACAAAATTATTCGTAAAAAAATATTTTTCCAAATATGCAAATGAACCACTTGTTCCATTTGAAAAAATTGGCTTATGATTAAAAATACGATTTGGGCATTTTTTAACGGACCATTTTTGATCAAAAATGTCAAAAGTTGACATATGATATATCATTCTACTCGGAGTGTCATTTTCTATCGAATAAACCAGAAATATACAGACGGTGCCATTTAAAAATCAATAGTTTTTCGTTGAAACAGGAAGTGACCAAAAACAATTGAATACGTCAATCAATCCTAATTTATGTCATATACTAACATACCAAATTTCGTATTTTATCTAAAAAAATAAAACTTTAAAGATGCACCCGGTATAGAAGAAACAACCGCGGACTAAGATTGAACGAAGAGAAGAATTTTGAAGTACCTTTAAGTAAAATTTTATTGTTAAAGTAACATAAATATGCTTAGTTGTTGTGGTAACATGTTAACTTTAGGGGGGGGGAGGGCGCCAGGTAGGGGATTCGCCCGGTCTCAATATTTCCCTTCCGCCGCCGCCGGCTCTGGCGTTGACGGAACAGATGATTAAACTGTTTTAATCATCTGCTGATGATGCTAACATGGTTGGCGAAACGTCTTTTGGTGTATTGTGGTGAATTAAGTTTTATTTTGCCATCAATATCGTATCGAGAAAAAACGAAATTAAACAAAGACGCAAACCAAAGAAATCAAAATACGCTGTAAGCTAAAACGCGCCTGCTTACGAATTTCAATTGCTGAGTGCTTCTCAAATCTTGCTATATTTTACAATATTTTATCAATAAATCAAAATGGTACCCTCTTGCTCAAGAAGTTTTTTGCATGTCTATGTTTAGAAAAATTTCCAAAATGAAAAACAGAAACGTATTTTCAAGTAACTGGTTTCACCTATTCTAAAGTTGAAAAACTACAAATTATGCATTTCCGCAAGAAAAATGTCGTGATTTTCTATTTGGAAATGCTTCCAAACACTAAATAAAGAAATATTTCTTACATTACTATTAACTAATTTCAGCTAAGCTAAAGTAGCCCTGATTTCCAATTCTAAAGTTGAAAAACTGAAAATGTTAATTTATTAATTTTTGCCCGTTAGGCAAATTTGTTTATTAGTAAACCATTGCTGACAATTAGTCTCCGTTGGATTAACGCAGCAGTGTTTACAGAAAATAACTAACACTACTATGCAATGTTAACAATAACGAGTTGTATATGGCTAATGATCCTGGTGATCGATGCCTAGGGAAAAAACTACACTACTCAAAACAATTATCTCTGTCTCGGGCTTGACTTTGCCAAAATTATCATCGATTGTCACTCCCCAACCATCTTTGACGCCGTTTTTTTCTCGATCATACGGGACTTTTAATGTGTATGTTCTTTAATGTAACCGCTTGTAAAAAATAATTAAGAATACCTTTTTTCCTTGGCGAGTCCTCTGTAATTTGTTTTGATAATTTCCGACTAGTTTCGGCAGACATCGGAGCTTGCCGCAACCGACCTTCCCCATCAACGGGGACACATTTTTCTACTAAACCATCTTTATTTTCGTTTTCTGCTTGTCCCTCTTCTGGCTCAGTAATACTGATTCTGACAAAGCTTTGAATCAACTCTGTCTCACGGGTGATGAGTTTTTCTGCTTTCAATATCACATCGTCTTCCATATTTTAATCTAAGAAACCATCAAAATATTTAAGAAAAAAAACTGCATATCATAATTTGTAATAAAAATATTATTATTAAATTTACCTGAATTTTAGTAATAAGGTTTATAAAAATTCACTGCACTTAAATAACTTGAAGGTTTACAAAAAAGACGATTTGCTCAAAGCGTGGAGGATCAATCGAATAGGTGGCGAAAGTAACACTTTTTGCTGTTTGTTACTATGGAAACATTAAAAGGGTGTGATCAATGGGGCGGCAATTCACGCGATTTGAAAAGGGATATTGGCACGTATTAGGGGATAACTGTTCTCTTTGTTGCTCGTACTGTTAAGTATTAAACATATAGTAATGAAATAAACATGTGTATAGTGTCAAGAGAATTATCAAATTTTATTGATATTCTCTACAGGCTAATTCAAATTCGACACGACCATTGGGATCTCGAAAAATACCTATATGGGATATACGAGGATGGTTAAATTAGGGCAAAGTTGCATGATATGCAGTTTACTAGTTAGGTACTAAGGTGCATGATATGCAGTTTAGAAACATGTTTAATTCCGAGTAGTTCCGGAGATATTCGAGAAAAAAAAACGAAAATTCAAGATTTCGACTGTTATTTGTACAGGGTGGGACAAATTCGACGCTTTTAAATGGAAACACCCTTTTCTATAGGAGATAGACAAAAACTAATATCGGTGTCTGGAGCTCAATTTTTGTCAAAAACATGATGGTGAAACCCGCATATCGATATCTGTTACTGTTTCGGAGTTACGGGGTGTTTTTCAAAAATATGCATTTTTAACAAATCGCTGTAACTTTTTTGCTATAGAAAATTTTGTATTTTTATGAAAACATTTCCAAAGCACCTTTTTACATATAATTTAATGGTTTAAGTATATTTTTTTTAAAATTAATAATTTAAGAATTATCAACAGAAAATTTGATTTATTACATGGGACACCCTGTATATTTTTAATTTATTGAAAATAATTTAAAATTGCCTTTCCAAAAATATAACACACTTGATATTTTCCTCGATTCCTCTTCGAGATATAGAGTATATAAAAATTCGCCCGCTTTAAAAAATAAGTAGGCTTTGAACGGCACTGGCTGTAATGCAAAAAAAATTCTAGCTGTGAGCATCAATTAACACGAAAATAATATTTGCTATGAGAGATGCAGAATTTTATAACAATTTAAAATATATTTAACCAACATCAACACATTTAAACTATATCTAATAACAATAAAATTAATAAAAACAAATAGCAAACCTACGTAAATAGGAAACCAAAAGACATGAGATTTTGCTACAGGTGTTTGACATATCTTCACATGTCTTCTGTTATGGACAGACGGGGCAGTTTTTGAACATTTCTCCCGGAATCATTAACTCAGTGGGGGTGAAAGATACCCTCTCATAACTGCTAAGTATCTCTAATTCTTGTCTAGATTATACGGAAGAATAAGGAACGTTTATTCTTCCGCAAATATATCCATAGGATTAGATCCATGGGCACTAAGTCATGCGTTTTCGACGGCCAACGGCTAGGATCTTGGTTAGCTATTCAATTATTCTTGAAATTGGCTGCAAAAATTTGCTGATAACTTCAGCGTTCAGAGGCGGTGCGTCGTCTTGCTGGAAAATATGTTTTCGAGTTCCATTAAGGGCATATCATCAATAAGTGGTCCAAAGCCTACTAGTTGAAAAAGGAGAACTTTTAAAAATTCTGTATTTCGAAGGGGATTAAAGCAAAATATCAAGTGTGCTATATTTTTGGAAAGGTAATTTTAAATTATTTTCAGTTCATTAAAAATATAGAGGGTGTCCCAAATAAAAAATCAATTTTTCTGTTGATAACTCTTAAATTATTAATTTAAAAAAATATATACTTAAACCATTAAATTCTACGTAAAACGGTGCTTTGGAAATGTTTTCATAGAAATACAAAATTTTCCATAGCAAAAAAGTTACAGTGATTTGTTAAAAATGCACTTTTTTGAAAAACACCCCGTAACTCCGAAACGGTAACAGATATTGATGTGCGGTTTTCACCATCATGTTTTTGATGAAAATTGAGCTCCAGACACCGATATCAGTTTTCGTCTATCTCCTATAGAAAAGAGTGTTTCCATTTAAAAGTGTCGAATTTGACTCACCCTGTACATTATTATTGTTACAACAGTGTTTTCAGATTTGTCATCCGACGTTTTGTCCTTTGACCACCTTTGTTTTCTTGTAGGCGCCATATAAGATTTTTACTCATCGAAATAGATAAATTCACTGCGATTCTGTAACGATGTACAACGATAGAGTAAAGTCCATTATCTCATTTGTTTCGAGGTTTACAGAAAAATGTTAAATATAAAAGTTATAGGGAAGGTTAAGATACACATTTAAAAAAATTATGATAGAGTATACAGGGTGCTTCAAAAAAATGCACCCGAATTATAATAGTGCTGGCCTCAAAAAAATAAGGTAAATGTCATGGTAAAGATCGTTGGTCTTTTAAAAATCGATTTTTATCATCTAAATTTGAAAGGTAAACATACTAAAACAGTACTATTTATTGTTTGAATGGTAAGTCAGAAGTGTACAGGTAGTACCTTTTACTTAAGGAGTACACTATAGAAAATTAAGGTTAATTTAGACACATCCAATATTTTAGTAGACGAAATTTATGTATTTCTCTGGCCTGATTTAACAGATGCTTTAATAAAATACTCTGTATTTTTATCACTTACTTATAAATCATAATAGAATAAGAATAACATGCCAACTATGGTCCACAAAACATGTTAAATTAGTCAAGAAAGATAAGAATTGGCTATGACTCGGTAATTTTTTGAAAAAAACATATTATAGCTTATATCGCTAAAATGTTTAAATGGCGCTTTTTATAAAGTCCTGGCCAAATATGGTTTCCATTTAATGTCAAAAATGACAGGCTTTAGAAAAAAATGGATAACACAATATCATTAAGGATGTGAATATCTACCACTTTTATCTGAAAACTTTTTGTCTAATTAGGGGTCATTGTCAAAATAGCCGAAATTCATTTTTTTAAATATCTAGTAAGCCATGAACTTTTTCAAAAATCTGAAAGGCGCAACACCCTATTTTATATTTTATTTTTAGATTCTGCGTAAAATTTCATAACTTTTTTTATATATATAGTGTTATATACTTAAAATTAATAGTTTTTGTAATATTTAAATTTGTTTAAACAAATGTTAAATTACAGTGTGGTAAAAAATTGTCAGTGGTACCATTGTTTCTGAAGTTGGAATACCAAAATTTGGTGTGAGAGTTTGAAAGAGATGAGGAAAATGATATATGTAAAGATTTTTTAGTTAAATACCCTACAGGGTCATATAATATTTAACACGAATGTTCATTTATTATTTTAGAAATGTTGCTAAAATATATGTTGATTGTTCAATGCTGTATGGTCTATTAGTTATTAATTTACTCAACTCTATCACCAAAAAATCCATTTCATCGAAAAAGTTCTGTATTTCCTTATAAATATACAATAATAGGTACTATATAAAATCCATAAACCCTTTTAATCCAAACGATATCGTAAATAGTATTAGGACACACAATTAAATACTTTTTTGAATAGATATTTCAATTATTTTTTTTTCCTGCTAATTGACTGGAAATGTACGGAAGGATTTTGAAGATATCATAACATTCAATAAAGGGGGTCTTTAACCTTATAGAAATTGAGCAACTATTATTAGATATAAAAGAAATAAAATAGAAAAACAGTTTGCAAATTCTAAATTCATTTATTGATCAGACTGAACTGGTTTTAAAGTTCAATTCTATAATTTTTTGATTATTTAACGGATCCAAATAAAATAGCTGCCATTCCATTTCGAGAATATCCAGAAGGTTTATAATGTTGCACCAGTGTATCTTAATGCTTCTAATGATTTATATAGATATACAGGGTGGCGCCACTCATACGACGCGGAGGCTCTGAGGAGAACGGGAGTTTATATCAAAATGAAATTTTGGGAGCATATGTAGGTTAATTGAAAGCATTTTATAAAAATATATATAGTTCTACAGGGCGTTTCCATAAAAAGTTACGCATCAAAGTTTGTTTTTTTTTGTAATGGAACACCCTATATATTAATTTATTTTCGGATTAGTAAAGAAATAAAGATGAGTTTCATTAAAGAAGCATAGGTCTAAATTGTTAGGATTTTGATATATTTCACATTTTGTGAAAATGTAGAATAAATTTTAAATTTTACTAACAGTTACCTAAATTGTAATTTACTCTATATAGCCTGATATTTAATTACAATAACCCTTGTATGTTAAACCGAATTAAAATTTGTACCGAAAAGTTATACAGGGTGAAACAGAATTAATACTGAATATTTGCTAATTTTAAAAGTAAGTTAGTCCTTTATTTTAAATAGAACACCCAGTATATTATACCGATATTTAATGGAGAATTCATATATCTTTAAAATACTCTTAAGGTTGCCTACCGCTCAGACAAAGATTTTCCTAGATATTGTCATTTTTATGTTTTTGTCTCAGTAGATCTTTATTATTTCATAAAATCTAGATGGCTGTGATATACCTTTTGATAATTTCACAAAAATTAAAGGACGTATAGTTAAATACTCAACCGTACTAAAAATATACACGTTTAAATCATATTTTAATTGTTACAAAATTAAAACTAGTGTAATTATGACACAAAAATTAGTTAGATGAAGTTAAATGCTCAGTATGTTTACTTTCCTGTTCACTGTTTACATAAAATGATTCTCTTTTCAAAAGACATATGTCAAGT